ATCAGTGACTCTCGGAAGGTGGATATCAAAATGGTATTTTGAAACGAGAAATAACTGTTCCGAAAAACGGAACTGTTAGAATAAGCGCCAGGTATGCTGATACATTAACTTATTGGACTTATATTTCGTACAATGTCGCTTGATCACACTTTAATTTAATGCGAAAAGCACTTTCTAAGTCTTTTTAAGTTGTGTGTTTTTTACTTGGCATGGGCGCTATAATGATTCGATTGCCCTCTACGTTAAATAAACTACGTTTACATCATTTTATAATCTAACTTTGTATCTCAAGACTTTTCTTTCTTGATAAACACAAGGCCTTATTTTCCATCTCAAATGAATATGTTAATTTACAATGTACTTTCAAATATAAAAGCTATCATACTTTTATATATAAATAAATTGCATATTAATACAATGCATTCGGTGCACTTTATATTATATTTCTTCTGTAAGTTAAAACTCTATTGGATAATATGAGACAGTTTACTTTGCTTGATTACAAAATGAGCATCCAACGAAAAATCTATGTAATTTATATATAGGATAAATGATTGAAAAAACATGACATTAATTAATTTCGAAAAACCCAGAAAAATTTATATTTCTTTTCGATGCATTGTAGAGACAGGATCATAAGATTTTGCTACACAAAACGACATTATGGTGTTACGTTGTTCTTTTCCTCCATCAATTTAACTAATAGAGAACTAAGTTGATTGTATTTTGCTTTTGAAGGCAAATAACAGAACGCTATACAAAAACAACTTCATTATGCTTTATCATTAAAAAGTTTTATTGTCTTATGTATACTTAAACTATTAAATTTTATTTCAATGGTGAACCTATCTAATTCTACATCTTCACAATCAGCAACAGATTTGAATATCATTTTAACATTGAATTCTATACAGCAATTCACAAGTCGCAGAGATAGGCGAGTACTTTTCTCTAGTACCTCAGTGTTTTGAATTTCCAAATTGTAAAACAACACTTGAAGACGAGATTTACGCCTCATCGATGCAGTTCTTTTCGCGCAACAAAACTACATAAAGCACTTCAGTTTTTTGTGCATGGCTCGATAGAAATTTAGTTCAAAAGTAAGTACTCGTGAAAAAGTACTCGAAAAAATTTTTTCTCTCGAGTACTTGCTTTTGAACTAAATTTCTATCGAGCCATGCACAAAAAAGTGAAGTGCTTTATGTAGTTTTGTTGCTCGAGAAACATTACATCGACTAATCGTGAATCTAGTCTCCAAGTGTTGTTTTACAATTTGGAAATTCAAAACACTGAAGTATTCGAGAAAATTACTCGCCCACCTCTGACAAGTCGTACATATTACTCAAAGAAGTATTTATTACAAAAACTAGCTAATTTTCCAGAGTCGTTTTTCACCGAATGAGATCTAATTTCTCGATAAGTCAGCTAAAACCACGATTGCACAAGTATAGTCAGTAATGAGAGGATATTTATCTCAAAGACTTAGACATAAAAAATATGGCACATTCCGTCTACGTTATCAGAAACTGCTCGATCCCGGCAAAGCTTCACTTTTTAAGATTTTAAGCGGTCTCATTTCAATGAGCTAGTTTTGTGAATATGCAGTGAGTGTGTGAGACAGCGGTAATTGTTGATTTAAAGTTGACATGTTGACCAACTAGGGACATTTTGACTCTGTTCGCAAAAAGATGAAAATGTTCTTTTAGTATCCATTTAGTTACCGCTCTTTTATAGATTTAAACTTTATTTTCATCTATAGTTTGAATAAAAATGTTCAGCAAATCACAAAATATGATAATAGATAAAAGTTGAAGTTGAAGAGGAAAGTGATGAAGCATTTCTTTCTAATAGTTGTTTTGAATAAAGAAAAATTATTTCTTTATGAAACTAAATATGACCGAACATGTTCAGTCACCAAACGGTTTGTTATCGAACGGCTTGCAACCAATTAACGAGCGCTAGCTTGGTATTATTGGCCTCTGTAGCAGATTGATTTACGTTTTTTTCATGCAAAAACGCTTTTCCTCACTGTGCAAATAAAGCAAAAGCTTTGTTCATTCGATCATACTCATTACACAATGTATACATTGTGTAATGGATATAGTCGAATGAACAAAGCTTTTGCTTTATTTGAAAAAAGAAGAGGAATAAATGCGTTGTTAGCTTATGCAAGTTGTTTTAGTTAATCGAGTAGATTTGACGCGAGTATAATCCCTTCCACACATGTATTAATCACACATCTGATCTTCATAAATGGCAAGAATAATTAGTAAGACACCAATCTATTCTTGTAGCCGATCTATTGTGAATGGATTTATTTCTGAAATTATGGCATAAATGGCGGTCATGTCGTTCTGTAATTTTACTGATTGTATGCATTAGTCTTTTCGCAGACAATCTTTTATTAACGATGCTTGTGCCAATCATTCCTGAGTATTTATATCATCTTGAGCATAAGCCTACATCACCCTTTAAATTTTTCGCTAAAAATTGTACAAGTTTTAATGACAAACAGTATCGTCATGAATATTATGAACAATACCAGCAAGCATTACGTAAATATTTATTCAGTATTAATTGTAGCCACTTAATCGATTGGATAAGGAATGCTCAAGATATTGAAAGTGCTCAGAAACAGGAGGCTTTAGTAAAAGTAAAGGAGAGGAAGAATATGTGCCGCCAAAGTTAAGAAGCGATTATATAATCGTATGTTTAGGAAAATGGACGCGTTGGTTTCCTGTTGGCTTCGAAACCAATGGCAGAGCTATTAGCAAATGGATTTGTTGGACCACTAACAAACAGGTAAGGCTCTCGACGGTGTTCAGTCACTCGACGTTTTCTTTTTTGTACTCTTCTGAAATAGGATTGGGTACAGCATACCAATGTTTTGTGGCTTCATTATGTTGTTTGTTTCAACTATAAGTAAAAGAAGAAATCAGCAATTCAGGCGTTATATTATCTGTTTCTCAAATTGTTCTAGCGTTTGCATTTGTAAGAACATACATCTTAATGCTTTTGGCTCGTTCTGTACAAGGAATCGGTTCTGCCTGTACCACTGTGGCAGGTAACAGAAACATAGCCTTAATATATTCTTAATAATCGACTTCTTGGAATAGGTCTTGGAATATTAGCTCAGAAATATCCAGACAATAAGGAACGAGGCAAGATAATGAGTATTGCTGTAATTGGCATTGGTTTTGGCGCTGTTGGTAAGAGCATTTATCGTAATATGGAGCTACCTCATTGAATTCTTGTTCTGTAGCTGGACCGCCATTTGGAGGTTTTATGGACGATTTCGTTGGGGGAGCGTCTCCATTTCTTGTTGTAGCCGGTCTTGTACTATTAGACGGACGTGTGTATAAATTCACCATATTTTTAACAGGAGGGAGAAAACATCTTTCTGTTCAGTGTTACAACTAACTGTCCTAGAACCACGTATCACAAAACAAGCCGTTCAAAGGAAGTCGGTTATAAAACTTTTAAGAGATCCTTATATTATTTTGGCTGCCGGTACGTCATCTAATAGAATCTTGCATCCGTTTTCTCTTTAGAATAAAGCATCTATTTTTGTTTTAAAACAGGCACTACCACATGTGCATATCTAACAATAGGCACATTGGAAGGAACACTACCTATTCACATGATAACAACAATGAATTCATCTGCAACACAAGCTGGTCTCGCATTTTTGCCTCTTTCTCTTTCCTACCTGATCAGTGCCAGTGTTTTCGCCATTCATGGATACAAATGGCCACGATAGATATGTGTAATACAGTACTAAATTCTAATTTCTTTTCTTGCATACTTTCTCTTTCAGATGGTTATGTGGTATGGTCGGCTTAATACTCCTTGCAATATCAATATTTTGTGTATGAGTAATAACTTAGTTGGTAACACAGTTGATTTATTTATTGTTTTAATTTAAGGTGCCGTTTGCAACGAACATTTACGGTTTGATATTGCCGCTAACTGTTGGAGGCCTATCCGCAGGAATGGCCCAGGCTGTCACACTACCCACAATGGCTTATCTCATCGATATACGTCATTCTTCTGCATATGGGAATGTTTATGCTATCAGTGGCTCAGCATCGTGCCTCGCTTTCATCGTAGGTAAGTAAGTGCAACAGAAGAAGTTTAGTAAAACGTTCTCGTGTCTTTTCTGATGCAGGTCCATCGGTTAGTGGAATTCTTGTTCAAGCAGTCGGTTTTCGTTGAATGATAAACATAATATCCCTGTTATGTTTATTGTATGCTCCACTTCTATTCTTTCTAAGAAGTCCTCCTGCTAAAGAAGAGAAAGAGGTAAGATCTTTTCTTGAAAGATTTATTTACTGTTTTCTACGTTTCATTTGTTTAGTCACTCACCAAAGCAAATTCGAAGGAACAAGTGGATGCAAAATGATGACTGTTTGTCTATTTTTGAAAATAGACAAAAATTATAAAGTGTAAAATACACACTAAAAATTAATATTTTAGTAGTAAATCATTTTCCACAGAGATGGGCAAGTCCGGTATTTTTTAAATCGCAGTCCGTGCAAACTTTTTGCCGCAATTTCCTTCCTGGTCGAACGTGATCCAGGCTTCAAACGGTCAGGATAGATAGAGCAAATCGAGCTCTGTTGGGAACTGCTTTTAAACTTTTTGGCAAAAATCATTTGGGCACGTTTTTGAAAAAATTTCCTCAGAGCCAGATTTTTGGGGATCTTATTTTAGAATTTTTTAATAAAATATCATTAAGCAAATTTTGTATGCAGTTAGTATTTCTGGCTTGATAGAGCGAAAAATTTCCTTTCAAATAAGACCTCTCTGCACTCAGTACGATGATCTTTATTGAACTGCTGTTTTGTGCTTTTCTTAAATTGGCGGCAGATTTAATTTTCTCTTTTTCCCTATCATTAATGCCTGAGAAAATACACTAGTCCTGAAAGCGAGAAGGCCGACAAGAAAATCGGGATCTTTTATGCGTTTTTTATATAAGGTAGTGTATCAGCTAGTTCAGTAGTTAAACGTTCCTTTTCCAAACCCCTCACTTTCAGTCCAGGGAATAAAGTATATCTAGCAGTCTTTGCACAACACAACGTACAAAGTTGGTATTAGCAGATAAAATATGTGAAATTTAATTTCTGACAGTTTTGGTAGCGAAGCCAAATTTATCATATACTTGCTTCATGCTGAGAAATGCTAATTATCGAAATTTAGCGTTTTTCTCGCTAATTATATGTGTTATTATTGCCCTTATTCTTCATTTCTGCCTTTTACACTTGTCAGATTCTGGTCTTTTTGTCATTTCGAACAATATCCTCGTCGTTGTACACTTTTTTCGCTTCAACTATTGGGTAACGACAGTGGAAATCTAGTATCGGGGGATTGCTAGATAGTTGCAACTATCGATTTATCTGTTGCTAGTTGCACATGCAGACTCATCTAATTAAACGTTCTTTTTCCAATCTCTAGGTGGCAACTAGTCGTGTATCGCTCGATTACAGACGAAAGGTATCTAGATGTTTCCTATAGGTGATGTTTGCTTGGGTAACAAACCGTTTGGTGAACTAGTTCTTGAACTTAGTCTACCAAGCAACAAGAACGAGCGGGCTTGGTAGTTTCTGCCAAATGCTGCCTTTCTTCTTGATGAATCGCTATCGCAGGTTTGTTAAACTAAATGATAAAGTGTGTTTAAGAAATTCTTCATAAAACTCAAAGACTCGAACGAACGCAGATCAAAGAAGCCTATAATAGGATCCTATCGGATCCAAACTTTAAATTCATGTCATAGCTAAAGAAAATTGATAACTACATTTCGGTAAAAA